CTGAATCTGCTGTTGGTGCTGCTGCCTGGAGGACTGTTGCAGATGGTCGAGGCAATTTTGGTTGCTGTGCTCATGGTCCGGGTTATGATGGTAATACATGCTGTCCAAACTTAGAGCCATGGCTTCTCTGTCACCGCTTTCATAGTGATGGGACCCCATGGCTGCACCCCCAAAGAAATCCTCCAGTTTTGGAGTTGAGGTAGGAACCATTGCTTCACACGAAAAGTCAAAGACAGAAAAGTCCAGATGTTTGAGAAAACTAATATTTCCCCAAAGCACAAAACAAACTCCAAAAGAAAAGAATATACAAATAGAAGTTTGAGCCTAACCTTGTGGCTGTGACCTGCCAAGAGCTTCCATTAAACAAAGAGACCCATCAGACTTCAGTGGCATCGCAGAAAAGTGAGAATACAAGCCACCATTTTCTCCTTCAACTCCATAATAAAGTCCATAATTAAGATGGGATGGAGAGTGGAAAAGACTTGATGGAACTGCTGTGGTAACACCAGAACCAGCAGCGGCGACAGAAGCAGACTGTGTTTGGTGACGAGGGTCTTGATTAGTAACCTCCATTTTCATGTGAGGAGAGAGAGAGAAACCTAACCAGTTAGTATTGTTATTGTTGTTATCATCATTACTCAAGGACTTCATCTTCTTACTATGCTTCTTTCCCACCTAGAAAAGATTCTAGGCAAGCTTCTCTTAGCGCAGGGCAACTCAATCATTGGGAAACAAATAAACTAATCATAAACCAACCTTCTTCTTGCTTCACTCCATTCTGAAAAAGAAAAAGAAGAGAGAAAAAACTGGGAGGGTTTTGTTTTGTAGCTGCAGAAGTGATTGGACCATATCTAACAACTCCATCTAAAACAAATCCAAAACTCCTGCAACTGAATCTATGTGCATGACTCTTCTCTCTCTTTCTCTCTCTCACTGAAAAGATTTCTAAAGAGAACTAAGCAAGTTCCTTTAAACTAAACAAAAAGAATGAGTTCCAGCAAGCTATGCTGGGCATCCTTCCTGCATTCCATAGGGATCTGTGTATGAGAAAGACCTCTTCTTTTGCTTTACCCTACGCTCCTTCTTGCATTTCCCTTTCTTTTTTCTCTCTTTTCCTTTTAAGACCCCCTCCCCGACCTTAAACACATTAAAAATTCAAAGATTTATTTAAAAGATTAAATAAGAACCCAGCCACATCCAGAAGCTACACCAAAGACGTGATACTAGTAGTAGTAAGAGTACTTACAACCCGATAAACCTCATTTTCTCAAGTGGATATACCACTGCTACCTCCTCCATGCCCCCAAAATATCCATCAGTTATTAACAAGTTCTCTTTTGCATTGTTGTCTGTTTCATCTCAACTTAAATACTTGCCGGGATTGAGACGTAAGCCCGTAATGGTAATTGGAAATGCTCTTTTCCAAGCATAAAAACAAAGCAAAAAAAAAGGTACCTAGGTAAGGTTTTTTTTATCAGTAAGGATATAGATACTGGATAAAGATAGTAGATATTTATTCTTTTTGGTATAAATGTAATAATTTATTCTAATTTAAAGGACCAAATTTATTTTACATTTAATAAAAGAATTTGAAAATGAAAAGTAATGGTGTCTCCTAAAGGACCAGTGTCTTATATCCTTTATAAGAAATGTATGAAGCATGTCTACAAGGTTATAAACAAGAAAAATGAATGAGGGGGGAAGAGAATAAATGAGTGCGCAAGGAAAACCATTAAATCCAGTTGCCATACATTGGTGGGTATTTGTAAGTGTAGCTGCAGCACATTAATTGACATGGTAGTAAAATGAAAGAAAAACAATGTACAGCGTTGGCTTTAATTGTTGTAGCAGGCTTTGGATGAGAGCAATAGATTTTAGATTTATCACAGCCAGAACCAGAAGACAATACTGTACCATCCCTGCTCACCTTTCACTGCACAGCTTCTTTGCCGGGCCTATCAGTTTGTTTTTTTTGTTTTCAACTTTTGAAAATACTTGGAGTGTAGGGCAAACTGCAAAGAGCTTCTACCACGACGCCGTTTCCCAAGAAATATAAACCTGTTGGTAAACATGCCGTGGCAAAGTGCCTGGCAGAGTCACAATTTTGACTGGCTTTTTGCCTTGTCCTTTTGCATGTTGGTCGCCAGTAACTGGTAACCCTGCCAAAATGAAGGTGCCCATAACTCAAACGGAGCACAAACAAGCATGTAATGTGTCCATTCAACTCGGATTTGAATGGATTTCAGCTGCAACTGGTTTCGGTTTATACATATATATATGATTGATATTTTTAAATACTTTTATTCCTTAACTAAATTACATTATAAAGTGTTTATTACAAATATTGTTGATCAAGCGTATTTGGATGATTGGGTGTTGATTATTTTTAGTTAACTTTACTTAATATGGACAAGCAGGCGTAAACATCTATCATATCATGCATCTTAATTACAAAGCAAGACTACTACTAATTAACATTCATGATATCATTAAGAAAGTAAGAGATTTTTTTTTAGGGAGTACTGCTGGAAAGAAAACCCAGGGAGAGTTTGGAAAATCAACCCCACCCTGTCTTGCCTGCCTCTTTCTCTTTTTTGGTATAGTCTTAAATATCAACCTTATGTGCCATCAAACTTTAGCATAATGAATCAATGCATGTACTTTTGGCTGTACAGGTCCTTAAAGAATAAATAAAGATAATGCAATTGAATAATAATAAGAAAAGAGAAAAAAGAAAGAAAAAGGATACATTAGAAGCAGCAGAGAAAAATACTGCATTTGCTTTGCTTTATGATCAAAATTGACTAAAGAAGTATGGCCCAATGGGATTTACTTTGGTATATCTATGTCCATGTTCGAGCCATCAGAATTAAAATTCAGAATTATTGATGTGCAAGATACAGTAGAAAATCTTTTATTTTTGCTTTATCTAAGGCTTTAGTTGTAGTCAACACTTGCCTCCAGACAAAAAGTGAGAGGTGGGTCACTGTGATAAACGTGGGGGGAAGCGAAACTGGCTAAGGTACAAGACCCATCCTTTCATTTCTTTGTTCATCTGTTTAGAGAATTAAAGAGAAAACAAAAAGAAATTATGGGGAAAAATGAACAAAAGGGTGAGATAACTTAGAATCTAAATCTCTCCCACACCCCCCCCCCCCCCCCCCCCCCCCCCCTCCGGCCCAAATCTTCTTGTCTTTAATAAGAAATTAACTTCTGATTTCAAGAGGAAAGAAGAGAATTGTTGATCCTTGGTTTAATTTGATTGAGTTTCAAAGGCAAAAGACAAAGGGATAGCTAGAAATAGGAGGATGGTACAAGGCAAACTTTGTCTCAAAGTTGATATCCTCAAATGATGAGTGAAGGGGCCCCTAAAAGAGCATGCTTTTTGTGGGATGAACACTTTATATCCGATTGTCTCAGTAAAGCCTTTTAATAGTGGGGAGAATATTTGATAACCCAAGTTTGGCTGTGCTAATCTTTTTCTAGTTTAAAGGCTTCCTTGACCATTGGCTCCCCTTCTTTTGTCTTTAATTGCTGCATTAAATGCCACCGTCCTTCGGCTTCTTCCAGGGAAAAAAAATATATATTTTCGTTTCGGGGTGGAATGACGGTGGAACTATAGATTGAGAAATTTCAACGCAAACATGTAGGTATTAAAAAAAAGGTGTGAACATCCATCCCATTAAGGCAGATAAAGAAATGATAATTTCTCAAATTATTATTGTTATTGTGGCTGACAATTTTAGAGTGTAGCAACTATTTTAGGGAAGGCTATGGGTATGGATGGGAGCTGGGAAGTTGATAAAAGTGAAGGATTAAAGTCTTCCTACTTGTTCGTTTGTCGTGCGGTCTGTTGTTGTTATAATTAATTTTAATCATAATCGGACTGTCTAGATAAGTTCTTCCTATCATGAGCATTTAAAATTTGAAACCACGTTAGTGTTATAGCAGCCGAAACAGAGAAGTGTTGTCGGCGCCGGCGTCGGGACTATGTTTCATAGAGAATTCAGGCTAAAACCTAGTAAACATTTTAAAGGGTAAGATTCAAGAATGGAATTGGATTTTATTTTGAGAGGGAGTGTCAGTACCATGGTATGTTGGAGTCAACAATTTCATGGTATACTAATATATATTTTGCATGGAAAATATGCATGACTATAGCCAAGCCCATGGAGACAGAATTTCCAGAGAGAATGATTTTGTTTGAAAAGAGAGTGGGGAAGAGTTTTTGAGAGGGAAAGATGTATCAGAGGACTTGGGGGGTACCCCCCTCCCATCTTTTTTGATTGTAGTAATGATGAGAAAATCCACCAAAACAACCACTAGAGGCCAGTAAGTTTTACTAGAAATAGTGCATGGACTAACAATAACAACGAAGCTATGTGCTGCTGCATCAGCAGGTTTTGCTTTCTTTCATTGTCACAGATGACAGACCCTCTTGGTGGGAAGCAGATGGGGAAGGGCTTCGGCTTTGTGGTGCTTCTTTTCCTCTTCATGTCTGCTTCTAATGGGCACCCCTTTTATTACGAACTTGGTTGGCTATCTCCCGAGTGCCGTTACTTCTTGCCTTACACGGACCACTATACCCTCTGGGATGGGAACGGGGGACACCTAACTTTTGTGTTTAACCACCCTAACTTGACACTTAATAGTTAAAGTCATAATTAAGGGAAATTCTTACTACGGTTAATTTCATAAGTACTAATTAAACATAAGTTTTAACTTGATGCTTATATACCTCTTTGTAAGAAAAGAAGTTTTGCTAAATTCGAAGTCTAATATCCCCTAATATAAATGAACACTGTAGAACACAAAAGAAATTGGGTTTCTCAAGCCTAATGAACCTGGATCAAGCAAAATTTTCTTTGGGGATTTCAGTATCTTTGATCATATAACGCATTAAACTTACAATAACGTACTATATTATTCCGACTTGGTATGATCTGCTATGAGGCTCACCCGTTATTAACTTGATTAGCCGATACATCATTTGTACTTCCTTAGACCCTCTTGTTTAGGTTGAAACGAGTACGAAAGAACAGATCTCTGACCCAAAGTGGAGACAGTGAAAGCACGGCAAACAAACCAGTCATGTGACCAAATACTATCTGCTTTGGTGGTTTAGGACTCAAAACCTTCTTTACCACATGTCTTGCAAACATCATGGCATCCGTTGCCTGGGAGCCTTGGGAAGCCCTGGCTCGCTCAGCAATGGCCTCCTTGAATTCCTTATAAAGTTTCCAATCATGATCTCCCAGCCTCTCCAGGCTAGAACTTCCAAAATTTGATCTCACAGCACCAGGCACCACAAGCACCACATTGATACCGAAGGGCCTTAACTCAACACGCAAAGAACTGGTCACGGCATGAACAGCTGCCTTGCTAGAACAATAGGAACCTGCCCATGGGGTTGGCACTCTCCCCACCACACTCCCTACATTGACTATACACCCCCTGCGCCGCGAAGCCATGTGGGGAACAATTTGTTGCACCATTCTCAGCTGCCCCAATGTGTTGATTTCCCAAGCTTTCTTGATTGCATCTAAAGAAAGCTCAGCTAAAGGGCCGGTGCTTCCTATGCCGGCATTGTTTATCAGTACATCAATGTGACCATACTTGGATATAACAGTGTTCACAGCTGATGACACGCTCTCGTCTGATGAAACATCGAGCTCTATCGTTTCAATGTTATCGGAATTGAGGTCCAACATGTCATCCATTCGTCGAGGGATGTCAGAGGCAACCACCTGGCAGTTGTGCTCGGCTAATGCCCTGCAATATTCATATCCAATGCCACCTTTGGCACAGCCTGTGACGAGAACAACCTTAGGCTCATCCATCCGTTTTTTCAATCCCTAATGTTGTTTGATAGTCCTAGACTCTTTCCTCTTATAATAGATTGGTGAGGCAGAATATTGAATTCGGCAAGGTTTTTTCTTGTTCATGGTATAAATGCAGATGCAGAATATGCTTTAGGGCATATGCTTCTGCAGGGCAAATTGGCCTGCAGAATCGGAGCTTGTTTGCTTATGGACATATGCCTTTTTATCTTTGTCTTTGTAATTGTAAATATGGCTCTGTCCAGGCAAGGTCAACATTAATATCAAATCAATACCAGTATTGGTAGAGTCAAGATTTCGTGTTTGAAACTAATACAATATTTATAAAATAATCATATTAAGAGTTCTATATTTGATAAAAACATAAAGCAACTTAGATAGAAAAATTTATATAAAAATTAAACAAATAACTCCAACTTCATATTAAATGTAAAAAAAGACATTTTTTAACAATTATTGTATGTTAAGATTGAAAATCTTTAATTGAGTTAGATTTTTATAGAATTGAAGTCATCTATCACTGAATTAATGTCAAAATCTTGAATAATTTCCCTTTTAATAAAAATGATCAACTAATTTTTAGAAAAATTATTTAATATTTTATTACAAATCTCGTTCTTAACAAATTTCATAACAGAAAAAGCATATTCTGATATTACTGTAGAAACTAAAAAAGTCAAGACAATGCTTGATCAATATGTTAACAAGGAAGTAAAACTTTTGATATTACTATCATTTTTAACACTTGACATAACTTTGCTTTATCTTAAACTTGATTATGAAAAATGTCAAATTTGAATAGATCCAATTAATAGTTTATATGCATTTTATCATACTTAGTAATATCATCAGAGTAATATTTTTTGGCAAGGTTGCAAATACTTTCTTCATTAAATGATTCGAAATCATTCCGAGGGTCTAAAGTTGTACAAAAAATGTACAACTTTACCAAATTCTCATTAAATCTGAAATCCAATTCTTACAAGAGTGAGTAAGTGCTCAATTGTGTCATGATTATTTTGAAAACGACTTTTACCTAATTTATATCTAATCCTTATGTAAGAATCTAAATTTTATATTTCTCATAAAATAATAGCAAATAAACTAAACTTACTAATTATCATGACATAAAAATTGAGTTATTGATTAGAGATTTTTTGTAAAGAGAATGCTCATGGTAAGCGAAAAAAGTGTAACAAAAAAAAAGATTTTTGTTTCTATTTGGTAAAAAGAAAAGAAAATAAGAAAGGATGATTGTAAGGTTTTGAAAAAGTAGAGTTTGGGAATAATTTTATTACAATAAGTTTTATTTTAGTTTCAAGTCTATTAAAATTAGTTGTTGATTAATTGTTTTGGGACATCTCATCAAACAAAAAATTATAATATAGATGAAATTATAAAATTCTAAAAAAATAAAAATATGTTATAAAATTTTTGAAAGATAAAATTATAAAATGTTTAAAAGATAAAAACGCATTATAAAAATTTTAAAATTTTTAAAAAGGCAAGAGCTCTAGTATTCCTTGCCATCCGCCTCTGAATGTTTGTGAAAAAATATTTTTGTAACTCTTTCCTTCAATGATTAAAGTTAAAAAATAATTAATTTAATTTAATTGAACAAGTGATTGATTCAATCAGTTAACGTGAGATTATTTACATCTTAAAATTGGAGCAACTTATTTGCCTTGAGATTTTTATATCGAAAAGGGAAAAACTGACTTGTTTGAATGATTGATCCAAGCAAGCATTTAACCTGGCATGCCATTTACAAAGACCAAAATGTAAAAAAGGAAAAGAAGAAAGAATCGTTAGGTCTGAAATCACAAACGAACTTTTGAAACAGGGAACATAAACTCTATTTCAGTATTTGACAAAGGCTTGTTTTTCCATGAAGAGCCGCAAAAGCAAACAACATGTTGGTAATTAAAGAGTCTTGGCATTGAAAAATTAAGTGTTAGGAAGGTACAGCAGAATCAATTAGGCATTTAGCGGGGGAAATTAAAAAGGAAAAAGGGCAAAAAAAAAAAGGCACTTTGGTCACAAAGCAAGTCATCAAGTTGAAGGGATCAGGAAAAGAGAAAAAGCAGAGTACTCTGATTTTAAATTAATAATCTAAATCATTAATAAATCATAAATTCTTTTGCAGCCTCAGTGACAAAGTCATAATGCTGCCTGTCACGTAACCATCTAATTGCCTAGCACAAGTATTTATTTCTCTGAACCTTTGAGATTCTTTCTTTCCCAGGAAAACATGCGGTGATGGTCCTTTCCATGGTAGGGAAAGGGGAAGAAAACCTACAAGGGAAGAGAAGAGAAGAGATAAAATCAACTAAACAAGGAGTGGAGTAAGCAGTGGAAATTTATGGAGGAAGGGGATTAATGGGGTAATTCACGTGGGAGCCAGAAAATCCAAGCAAAATCCAAATGGGATCACAGAAAATGGCTAGCATGCAAGGGTCAACTGAAAAAGCACGTAATGGATGGCAACCAATCTGAGACTGACCACAGCTCAGTATTTTGTGGTATACCGTATTGCATGGAGCTAAAAGGTCATCGGCCTCTTTTCCTTTTTGAGAGAGAGAGAGAGAGGGCGCTTTTTTTTTTTTTTTCATTCACAGTTTCTCACAGATAAAGTTGCCCCCCCCTTCCATTAACCAATGCCAGATTTCTCTGCAAGATCCTAACCCATTACTCTCTTTAACTTTGCTTTATCTTCCTCTCTCTTTCTCTCTCTCTTCGTAAGCAGTACCGTCCTTGAGATGTCATGGTCTAAGGCAAACTGGTCATGTCATATTCAGACATTTGATTCTTTTTCTAGAGCCACTTTGGACACTGCAAGACTGCAAACATGTAGTAGCTAACACATATTTTTTCTTTCGGATTGATAATTGGGTTTTTTTAAAATCTTTCCTTCTGTTCGTGAGAGTAAAATGAGGTGTAGAAGTCTGGGACTACCCTAAACTCTAGTAGCTACTGTAGCCCTGCTGAGAAGACCCTACCAGATTTTCTATCACGAGTAGAAAAAGCCCTCTAGATGTACAAAGAAAGCAAAGCAGTAGGCAAACTATATTCTCTTGTTAAAGGCCACAAAGCACCGATCACCAAAATACCCACATTCCTAGGACCCCTATATGTCTGAAAGACAGTGCAAACAGAGAAAGTTTGTGTATAGAAAAAATGAATTGAATATATGGACAAATGTCTAGTCTGCCAACGCGTTGTTGGTGGGGTTCCTTTCAAAGAAGAATCCAAACTCTTAATCCACCTTGGGAGCAAGAGGTGCCTTTCATGTCTGCTACAAGGTCCTGGAAATAGGGATTAATTTGTAGTATTGCACTTTTGCTTTGTCCTAACAAAAGCACAAGGGGTAAATGAGAGAGACTCCGAAGTATGGAATTTGGGGTATTTTTAAAAGGAGGTGTGTGAGACACATTGACTTGGAATGTATTGAAAAGGACAACTGTCCTACTGATTTAACTCCATTACATGGTTTCCAGCCAAGACATCTTGTATGGTTTCATCACTGCTAAAAAAAGGAGGATAATTATCAGAGCATGCAGAGAAATTTAGAACTGTTCATAAAACAGTTTAAGAATAAATAATATAAGTAAAATGATCATTAATTGTTCCAATGATCAGGGTGTCTACGCTATGTAAGTTAAACAGGGGAGGATATTTGAAAAAACTATTTGCAACCCTTGCTATAAGTTTAATCTCTTCAGCACCTGGGTGTTTACCTTAGTTCTTGATTTTCTTGCTCAACAAATAAGATTTGAATCTTCTTTTACTCAAAATAAAAAAAAAAAAAGTTTGATCTTCTCACGTCTGTATGATTCTTCACTACTCCTTCCTCTCCTGTTCTGCTATGTACATAGTTCTCCTGCAACATTTGGGAAACAATAGGCATGTATAATCATTATATATTAGTCAGGGGGCAAAGAAGAAAAAGAAAAAGCAAATGTTACAGATCTTTTAAGAAGGGACAGATGACATAAATCAAGTTAAACAGATTCTTTGTTCCCAAAACTTGGAGAATTAATTGCTCTTCATAACCACCTACAATGTAATTCACATGTAATAGTATGGTTTCAATCGTTATTACTTGAGATAATGTAATCTCCATGCAGAAGGGAAGATGTTCCAATGTATTCCCCTAAAATTTCAAGCCCTTTTTTATTAACCAAAATCCTTGATGTGATGCTCGAGGAACAAAACAAAGGAATCCACAACACTGCAGAGAGAATTAGGGCCCAAACAGAGGCCTACACTCTTTACCTTGTATGGGGTATTAAAGTCTGGGCTACAGCCCAGGGGTTTGCCCCATGGCCAGTCCAATGAGAACCATGTTAATTCTATCTAAATTAACAGCTAGATAACCAAATCATGAGCAATATTATGCTATGAAACCAAGGATATAATCACAGCTAAAAACACGACAACAATTAGCTCTTTTACCTGTTTATCCCACTTGCGTCAAGGAGTTAAAATTAAAATAAACAACATGAAAGCTTCCGAAAGGAGGTTGCCCGCCATGTGGGGACCAATTCCACATACAAAGATAACTTTCAGCAGGGAAATAGTTAGGCTGAGTATTAACATTATAAATGTCATAAGGGAGCCGAAACGGAACTAAACCATAATCGTGAGGGTCAGAATTGCTCGTCTTCTTATCTCTTGGTTCCGCTCTCTTCACTTCCACCATCTTATTATTCAATTCGTGGAAACTCTTGCACAAAACATTCTCCGCGGCTTCCTCTGAATCAAAAGTAACGAATCCGAACCCTCTAAACCTATGACTCTTTTTGTCGTATATCACCACTGCATCAGTGATTGTCCCATAACTCTCGAAATAGTTTCTGAATTCTGGCAGTGTTATGGTAGGAGGCAAACCTCCCACAAAAATCTTATTCCTCGTATCTTTGGTTTGTACTCTTGGTTTTGCTGGTTTGACGTCCACCTAAAGAAGAACAAGAAAAATATTAGACCAACGTCCCAATACAATAATATATTAACAAAGAAGAACAAAAGAACAAAAAAGGGTTTGAACAAGACTTGCCTTTCTTCCCAGAATAACGTGCTCTTCTTCTTGAAGGGCGGCTTTAGCCATCGAAGGATCAGCAAAAGTAACAAACCCAATTCCTTTCTTGGAAATTTTAAGAGACTGTGTCACCTCCCCATACTTGCTAAAGTGTTGTCTTAGTGTTTCTTCCTTAACTTCTTCTGAAATCCCTCCTATAAACAGTCTTGGGTTCTCGAACTCCATGGAGAAAACGATTAGAGGAAATTGATGGACTCTGATAACTAGAGGAAAAAGAAAAATTAAGGAAGAAGGGTAGGATAATATTGATAAACGAAAAAAAAGAAAAGGTTCTTTCCTAATATATGTTTTTAACTAAGAAGAGGTCCTCTCAAATTTTACTCCTGCATGGTTTATGTGTGATACGATTGGCTATTGATTAATTAATGCTGAATATATTTTTAAATTTAATTAATAAATTAAATTTTAGCCAAGAAATTGGGTGGGACTCAATTACCTAAGCCAAACAAATGTCTTCCAGAATTGCAACACCTTTTATCATTATTTATCGATTTTTTTTTTCTGCTAACTTTAACATATCTAGTATAATGAATTTGAATTTGGAAATAATTTCAAAATATATAATCATATTAAAATAATAAAAATTTGTTTATAATTTTGAGTTCATCACTTGATAGTTGGTACAGTTATAAGCAAATGAAATCCCAATCTGATCATCACACCAAAATTCAACAAAGATTTTTTCCCTTTTTCTTTTTTGGTGATGAAGAGAGGATTTGTGAATTAATTATTGATCATCTTTCAAAGATTACAAGAATCAATAACTGTTAAGTACAAATCTTTTATATTTCTATATTTGATTAAGTGTTCATAATTTAGAGTGCATTCATCTAACCAGTTCAGATACCAAATGATTAGATTTTAAACATTATTTAAGGCAATATTTTGCTGCCAAATTGCAACCAGAACTTTGCTGCAGACGCTGACAGTTGAAGCAGGCTTGTGTTCACTGACTGGATACTACACTACAGAAGGACTTCATGCGACTGGCCATTGCAGCAGACGTCAAAGATGTCATCTAAAGGAGCATGGTCACCCGTCCCTTCATCTTTTCGTGCATACAGCAATTCTTTTCCTTTGAAGACAAACATCCCTCCCTGGTGCAAGAATAGAACACAGAACCTGATACAGCAGCCTCAGATATAAACTGAAACATGGACCACAGAGAATGTTAAAACAAATTCACAAACCTGTTGTAATACACTGCTTTTATTATCTGGAGTGGCTTGCATTGTATAGTTTTCCATAGCCTTCTGCAATTTGTCTAGTCTTGAAAGCAACTTTGCCTATCATTGATATGCGAATTATACAATAAGAAAATGGACCTTCAATTAACATCAAACATGCTTTTCAAAAATAAAAAAAGCTGAGAAAGGAATGTACGCTCGCTGGATTGAAGAATGTGCGCCCAAGACCATAGTATAAGCCTAAAACATCATATGCCTGAAAGAGAAGGACTTTGTTCAGAACTTAAAATCACAAAAAAGGATATTAAAGAATTGGCATGAGTAAAACACAATGTACATGTTACCTTACGGTCTGGATCAGCATAAAGGTAGTCCATTGGAAATGGTAGCTGCACATTTGATGACATTAACGAATTTTAGTGGTTACCTCCAATTTTATGCAGAAAAGACATGCGAGTAGAGTTGGTAAAGCTGATTTGAACACAATAAGCCCATTCAATCCATTCAAACCTGATTTGAGTCAACAACCAGAGTCCAAGTTGATCTGAACTTGAAAAAACTCGAACCCAAAAGACTAATCTAAAAGTATCCAAACTTAAATTGATTTTATTTACAAAAAAAAAACAACTTGAACATGAAATTACCAAAACTCAAATGTCAAACCCAAATGACCTGAATTTAAAACGACTTGAACCCAAGATGATCCGAACTCAGAGCCAAACCAAATTTCTCTCGACTTGAAATGACCTGACCGAAACCCAACTCCACTCACCTAATTGCCACCTCTATACTTTCAAAAAAAAAAAATTGCGACCTCTATATATGGGGAAAAACGGTAACACAGTGATGGCCTACAGTTCCAAGTAAGGTTTACAACAAATAACAATTACAGTTGCAATAAAATTTATGTATAGTCATGCTCGTACCCTTTCTCCTACGAAAGATGATCACACATTCATCTTTACTGAAAAGATGCAATTGTCGCATCATTATTGGACATAAGCCAGCACAAAACTTAAGAGCCATCTAACAGACTCAAGAAGCCAATCATTTATAGTGGCAACAGTACAGCTAATTAATCAGTTAAATGCAATACAAAAGACGAAAAAGAAATTTAAAGTACTTAACTAATATAATTTTGTTGTTAAACTACTCAATCTGAGCTCCTTTACATGTAAAAGCCTACAAAATCTTTCCATAATATTCACTATAGACAATTAACGCAACCTCTGGTGGAAAGATGAAAGTAAGAACTTTTTTTTTTTTGTTAGGTAGATGAAAGTAAGAACTGACAGTTGGTTTTAAGTCTTCTGACAGCAAGTAGAACAAGCACTTATCCCAAATTCACGTGTTTCATTTCATCTAAAGCTTTGTAAGTTAGATTGTTGAACAAGCCTTGAAGAACCAATATACCCCTTCTCTTAGTTTAAAAATAAAAGAATGAACAAAGAAACAGAAAAAAAATTCACCCTGAAAAATGTAAAAAAGAAACATTTAAAGAGATACCCGCTCTGCCAGGATACGAGCTTTATCAGGAGTACCAACACCAACTGCTATTAGTTTCACACCAGCTGAGTCGAATTTTGGCATTGCTTCTCTCAGAGTTGAAGCAAGTTCCCAACTTAGAAGAACAAGCACAGAAACTGAGAAGTCAAACGAACCAAAAGAGAATCCAGTTTTGCAAATTAATTGATGGCTCGGAAATATTTACCTGCAAAAGCATCCGAAATGTCTCAAAAGTGCAACAACCGCAATTCCCTGGATTTGATGAGGAGAGATTGAATAAGTTTAGCACAACAATTTCCTGTTTGTTAAGAACTTTGGGTTTCAGAATAAATATGTAAAAACTGTCGTTTATGAAAATGATAAATCGTAAAAATTGAAGATTGACCCGACAATTGAAGCCTAAGGTTCGACACTTTACAAGAAAGAGATCATAATTATATTGGGCTTTATTCCCAACTTTAATTATAAAAGCATAAGGTTGAATAGGTACAAATACCTCTTTCTGGTCCCAGAGGTCTTTGAAGAAAACGCGTTGACCCGCAGCAGTGAAAACGCTAACGTCGCCGAGCACATCGCCGATGTTGGCGGTGAATTCATTGGCCAAGGAAGAAGCGGCTCTGGTAATGAAACGGGAGTTACCTTTGCTGTTAAAAGTCATCAGCTTGGTGGGTTTATAGGTAACTTTCGTTGGAGTAAGGAAACAAGAAGGGGAAGAATTGATTGTCGGGAATTTTGATTTTGGAGTTGAACAACATAGAAGAATTTGTGAAGAGACCGTCGCCATAGATTTTGGAATTTACTACCCTTTTTTTTCCTTTTGCAGAAGAAGCAATGCAAGGAAGGAAACGCAACTGTCGCAGCTCCGTCTCCCGTGTTTTATGTGGCGGAAGGATTTCCCGGTGAGCAACGGCTTCATTACAAAAATTTCCCTCGTTCAACGTTCAAAACGGTGCGTTGAATTTCCATGCCCCACTCTGCTTATTTTTCTTTTAATTTTTCCTTTTTTAAAACTTTTTTATTACTTTTATTTACATAAGAATGAACATATTTCCACTAATTTGATATCTCTTGTCAAGTTTATGAATGAGTTACTATTTTCATTCAACTCAAATACCCAATCCCTACATTTTCATTTTTTTTTTCTATTTTCCGTAGTTATGGCTAAAATTATTCAAGTTTACCTAAAGAAATATTTAGTTGCTTTCACTTATCTTTATTGTCAGAGCTTTTTTCACAATCTATCTCTTTATAGGATTTTTTTTATCTATAAGTTGGTTTCATAACAACTCAATATCAACTTGGTGAGTTGATAGTCTTCAACTAAAACACTCCTTACTACCTTCCCTATTATTTCTCCCTTTTTCAATTGCACTTAGAACCACTAATCTCCTCTTTCGTCTCTTATTTATATCTGTTCATTTAGTTTGATGGCGACATTAGAATTTTCTTTAAACAAACTGGAAAAAAAAATAAATCGGCGTTTTCTTTTAACAAGAGAAATGAAGCATGAATAATTAAATTAAAAATTATCATTCAAAAGGCCAAACTAAGTTCCCACAATTCGTTTTATTAGCATAGAACTATGTATTTGACATAGGTTTTTGACATATAGCTGCGGAACTATTTGATTTCTTGGTTTTTTTCACTGCTGAGTAAACACTAAAGAAAGCATTTCAAGAAATCTTGGCAGCAGATGTTGGAACTTTTGAAGGTGAATTGGTAATATCAGGGTTTTGGACCGGGCTTGCACACAGTTCTGAAATACAGCTTTCATGCTGCTGGAACTTTGCAGCATACTTCAAAGACATCATCTAAAGCTGCATGATCACCAGTTCCTTCATCTTTTCGCGCATATAACAGTTGTTTCCCTTTGAAGACAAACATCCCTCCCTGATAGAAACAAAGAGGCTAATCGGTATAATTTATGACAACTCCATACCGACCAGTCTAAGGACACGATTAAATGTTAAAAGTTACAGGCCAGAATAAAGCAAACCTGTTGCAATACACTACTTCTGTCGTCAGGGGTGGCCTCTATTGTATAGTTTTTTACAGCTTTCTGCAGGGCCTCAACCCTTGAGAACACCTTAGTCTGCACCAATTTTCTTTTATCAGATAAAAAACAGAAGAAAAAAAAATTGTTTTGCAGAAAGCAGAAAAAAGAGATGTACACTGGCTGGATTGAAGAATGTACGGCCAACACCATAATACAAGCCCAAAACATCATATGCCTGAAAATAAAAAGGATTGTGTTAAAACTTGACGGTTAAAAATAACTAGAGGGGGAAGTTCACAAATGGGGCTCCATTAAAACTGTAATATTACCTTGCGGCCTGGATCAGCGTAAAGGCAATCCATTGGAAATGGTAACTGAAACCATGCCAATAAACCAGCTCAAATGATTAGCAAACGCAGAACGCTCGCGGGGAGCATAGAGTAAAAATGATAATCAATGAATTCAGGGTACAACAAATGTCATTGGTTGCAAATAAGCAACAGAAATATATAAACAAAATCCTAGAGATCATAAGAAATTGCGAATCAAGGGTAGCAACACTACTTCGAAATGCTTCAATGACAATGGCACTGCAGATGCTCTGTCCTCTACAACTCTCAACTCTAGCTTCTATTTGGGATTTCTTTATTCCATTCTAATAGAGTGAACTGAGGCAGGGGAAAGGGAACAAACAAATTTTATTCTCAAAGTCAGGGGCTATCCAACTTTGACATTTCACATATTTTAGTCTTTAATCAATCAAGATTTTGCTTCTCTTGGTTAAAACTTAAAAACAAGAATTCGTTGCCAGAAAACAACAAGGGATGCAAAAAGGAACAAGAACAATACCCGTTCAGCTAGCATACGTGCTTTATTAGGAGTGCCAACACCAATTGCAATCAGTTTTACTCCAGCAGAGTCTAATCTTGCCTTTGCTTCTTTCAGTTCTAAAGCAAGTTCCCAGCTTACAAGAAGTAAAAAGAAAACTAAACGTATGAAGTAATTATAAGTCATAATAAATTCTCACACACTAAAAACATCAGTAAAAAATTCACCGGCTGAACAAGTATTTTACCAACAAGGGCATCCAAAATGGCGCAGAAGTGCAACAACAGCGACTCCCTGGAGAAAGAAGAAATTAGCAAAGAGGCTACGCTTGGAGAAAGAGCTTTAGCAATGGCAACAATTTAAAATGCTTCTATCTAAGTGTGTAAATTTTATTACTTGGTTTTGGTCCCAGAGGTCTTTGAAGAGGACAGGCTGACCAGCAGCGGTGAAGATGCTAACATCTCCGAGGATGTCACCAATGTCTGCGCTGAATTCAGAGGCAGAGGGTCGTGGGACAAGGCGATAGTTGCCGATGCCATTGTTGCTAGCGTAAAGCTTGGTTGGCTTTATTTTTATAGGGGAAAGAAAGGGAAACTTTAATGAAGGAATTTGAGATGGAAATTTAGGAGAATTCGGGGACGAAAAGCATAGAGCTCGCACTGATTGCAGGTTTTGCGAAGGCAACGTGGCCATCGCGCTTGCGCTAGCTACAGTGCCTGGAGATTTGCCAAGAAATGGTTGGTCGTTATATATCTTTTTATTTATTTTGTACCACTACTCTATATATTCTGTGGCGGCCTAGCGCGAGGAATTTCTGGTTGTTCGTCGATGGTTTGGTGTGGTTGAGACCGACCACGTTTTATAAAATGGACTTGATTTGGTCATTTGGTCTGCTTTAGGGAGGGCTAGCCCAACTAATTACGTCTTGGGTAGAAACGTTTTATTAGGTGGGCTTGGGTTTTTGACTGGCCTGCTTTTGGACTAGCCCAATTTCCACTTCTTTTCCTTGTTTTCTCCCCACTTCTCCTCTTTTGTGTGTGCATATATATACACCATAAAGAGGCAAGTATAGCTAAGGTAACAATTTAATGATAAGTAGGCGTCACATGGGATCGATTCATTTAGGCTATAGCTAATCTATAGTCAAATTTGAAGTCGAATATCTGAGAATTAGTGGGTATTTGTGATAGCTGTTATCTTCATAAACAAATTTGTCTATGTCCAAACTAAAAAATGACCTTGACCAAAACCAAGTAACCAACCAAGCTAACACATTGACACCCCTAATAACAATCACCCCTTAATTTCCAAACATTGACAGCTTCAAATTTAGACGCATTATTATCATCCAGCTCAACTACCCAAAAAGGAAAAATAAGTATTGAATTCTTTCCTTTGTTTGATCATCAAGCCAGTCTTTGGTGATGCTTCATTCCGATCATAGTCGATATATATCAAATCATGAAATCAGAAGTGGATCGTTGACCCTGTCAAACAGGCAAAATAAGCAAGCTCGGCGACAAGGGCCCCCTACTAAAACAAGGTTCAAAGGCAAACTCTAGGGACAATGCTGGGATTGATGGAGACCCATATCAAACTTTTCCTAAACCGACCCATCCCCTATTGCCTCTCCACCTATATATCTAAATCTTTTCCATTCATTTTCGTTTGTCTATTTCTGCGCCTATCTCCTTGAGCTGCCTCATTTTTGTTTTTTTCCCATTGCTCCCAAATTCACAAACACCAAGGTTTTTTAAGTACTAATAAAAACAATTGAAATTCAAAAAATTTCAATAAAACCAGTAAGCCTTCACAAAACACTCATTTTATTTCATGTAATTTTAGATCAGATCATGTCTTTTTCTGAATTCCGTTTTAAAATTTTTATTTTTCAAAGATCCGTGTAATTATGAATTTAAATCACTGCATATGTATATCAATATATTGTAATAGCTCAAATAAAAGATAAATTATACGAAAATGATCTCGCTATAATCTCTGTAGCTATATTGATTTTTAAGAGAGAAAAATGGTGGGTGTCAATTAGGGTAGGTCTTATTTGATAAATGTGAAAGGAAGTTGCTCATACAAGTAGTATCCTTCCTTAACTGGTGAAAAACAGCCAATCTGATAAAAATTTAATTTGTCACCAGCTCACTTGGCTCCATTTCAGACCAACATTCAGCAGACAGAAAAAGCCTTTATACACGTACAGGGAAACATATGGCTAGAGGAGCTAGATAGGAGTGACAAGAAAACAACAATGTTGCCTAAAGGAAAAGAGACCTTTGAATCATGGCTTGAAAACGAAGAGAGCATGCATGAAAGCTTCTGAAGCATAATAAGAGTAAGGCGGATGGAGATAAGCCCATTTCAAGCTTGACTGCTTTAGGGCATGAAAGCTTGAAATCCTATGAAGAAAGACATGGACAAGCGACAAGAAATTACTAGCATCTTAGGAGAAGGGGTAAAGGGGCAGGGAGCTTGGATGATCATATCCGCCAACACAATCTTTCTCAATGTCACTCTCTGAACAACGAATTAAGTCACACAGCCTCTGTTTTTGACCAAGGAAAAACATTCTAAAACGGGCTCAGTGACAAGTCCATCACTTTTTTTTTTTAAGTCTAAATTCCTGAACCCTAATTAAAATATGGGAGGAAAAAAAATCTTTGGATAATAGCGTCACGCGAGCAGGAGCTGGACCCCCCACGAGCTTGGCACGTCCATGAAAGCGAGTCTTGCAGTACGAAATTGTAAGTTAGGCTCAAATGTCTTCAATACCCTTCATAACTTGTTCTTTTTGCTGTTGAATCCCAACCAAGAATATGCTCAGCTCTCTATTAATTTGAACTTGTCTAACAAGATATTACAATATTTCGTACTACACATTTGGGCATGGTAAGCACTTTGACTGAGTGATTTATTAGCTATAAATCTGTTGGTTCAACTCTTCACCATTACTATGATAAATAGTAGCATCTAATATACTCATACACTTGAACATAAAATCATAAGTCCTCTAATTTTTTTATAAAGTGTCAATGAATGTATTAATGAAAAGCAGTATTATATGTAGCAAGTCATCAAACAAGGAAAAGGTGTATTAATGCAGGCTTAATTGGGGATTGATGGGGGCTGCAAAGGGGATAACAAAAATTGCATCCGTGGGTAAGATATTGCTTTGGATAATGATCCCATCTGCCCCTACATTTCATGGAACAGCCCTAAAAGGGTGCTACTGCCCACCTAAACAAAGATACCATTACGTTTTTTTTTCCTGGGGTAGAGGCAATAAAGTATATTTTAAAGGTCTCCCATTTGGATTTCCACTCCCTAATCATCCCTTGGGCAAAACCCAAATTGTCATTTCTCTAAGCGGTCATTATCAGTGAGACTAATTTGAGTTGAATTGAGTGAAAAGGAAGCTAAGAAAAAAAAACCATTAGAATGCTTAATTAACAAGTTTAAGCTAGATAATTCTTATAGTTGAAATCAAGTGGCAGCTCTAAATATTTCTTGAAGAGAAATTAGCAATAGGTATTAAAGCTAGATACGACGCATCCATATACAAAAAATACGAAGATACACAAACTTCATAAGAAAGCTAGATTACACCATTAAATAATGAGATTACGTGGCTGCTTAACCTGCTTTTTTTTTTTGAGAAATTGTGAATGGAATGAACGAATGATTTTCTGCCTTTCAAAAAAATATTAAATAATGAGAGTTGTGCAAAAAGCTTTGATACTGATACGTGATGATAGTAATTAATTTAAGCATCCCTCCCGAAGCCTAGCGACCGGTTCTTTAAGACCAAAACCGACTTCATCTTGACAAGTTCATAAGGTTCGAACTAATGTAGTTCCAGTTCTTCATTTCAGCTAGGACCACTTCGTGTTGTTGAAGCTTCAATTACGGTTAGTGGGATTTGATGGGGGATTGGTCTAGTTTCATCTTTAGTTAAAATGAATAAAGACCTGTTCGTTGAAACTCTACTCCAAGAGTTGTATGGATTTTTATTCTTTCTAAAAATAGCCAAAAGTAGTGTGGAATCAATGGTAGCTCGAGTAAGAATTTAAGGTGAAACTTTATTCTTCTTTTTTTTTAATATATATTTTTTAAATTGGACTTAACTACGAAGCGTACCTTTCTGAAATTTTTGCATGCTCGCCACTTGTCGTTTGCAATTAAAAACCTTTAACAGAACAAGGCGAGGGAATTCAACTGCGTTGAAACCTGATTGGCTTAGACTCTAAAGAAGCCATAACTATTTCATAACTCGTAAGTGTTTTGCCGTTCCAGCGCTTGTTAATATGCCCTCCATCTCCATCTCCATCTCCATCTCCATATCCCTGACCTGCTACCCTGGGAAAACATATGTGGCTCAAACTTAGCAAATAACAGGCACAGACGCACAGTATTACAGAAAAAAAAATTATGAGAAGTATAAGAAAAATCTTTGACACAGTCACGAGTGTAAGTTAGAAAAATAGATAAATTAACAAAAAGAAAGGACAAAACCAAATTTGACGGTTAATGCGCTGGAGAAGGTGATAGAAAGAAACATGGAAGGTGGGGTAAAAGGTAGACAGCAGTAAACCAAGTGATGAGATAAAAAGTAAGAGTATTACATTGATTTTGGGCATATTTTTTCGAAGTTAGATCCTCCAGATTAATGTTTGATGATATGAAACCATATATACAATACCTAGAATAAATGGGTTCTAAAGTTAGATTAAGGTTGGGAAAAGAACCAGCTCAACAACTCGTTCAAAGACATCCTAGCCAGAAAGGTTCTTTGCAAAATTTAGCTTAAGAAATGTAAGTAGAGTGTGTGGGGCTTTTAAGTCCACGTGATTACCCTAAAGACCCGTAATAATCAACTCTCGACTTTATGCAAATAAATGCAATCAGGTGTAAATCCCATCATCCCAGTGTAAGAGATTTGGGGTTTATTACAATAATCGAGGGACGGGGGAGGGGCATCTTAGAGAGGGATTAGGGGGGTGGGGCCACGTGGCAATTATTTCTTTGTTCATGCAAACACACGCCGCTGACCTTGCCTCCTAGGCTGACAGATATCTCCCTCAAATGTGAAATCTCTAAGAGAGCTCTTTTCCCTGGAAAAGCCCGGATTTTAACTCAAACGGACACTTGCCCTTCCACCAAAGGGGAAGATACCCTATTATAAAAATGCCCAATAACAAGTACGACTATATTTACGCTAATGCCCTTCTGCGACCCATTTGAAAGGTTCCAACCCATTCTCAAATTGCAGTCCAATTAAAATTAAAGTCCTTTTGCAGAGGTAGGAACCTGAAAACATGGAATACTACTAACATTCATATTAAAAAGAAGTACTAATCAAAATTCTCTTTCAGTTACAAAAAGAAATACACGGTTTGTCATGTTTGCTGTCTTTCCAATATGAAATTCAGGACAATAAATACCTAGCTAAATCACAAATCAGACGTATATATTATTGAATATGAATGAAGAATCCTAATTAATACTTCTATTCTTTTTGCTTTTCCCAATTTTTTGATACATGCATGTGAAGAAATCATAAGGGGAGAGAGGACAAAATAATGTCCTGCCTTTGATAGTAAGATTCCTAAAATAGGGATTAAATGTTAATATTTATTTATTTTTATTTCTAAGTTTTGATAGATGAGATTAATATGATTCAATAGTGGTCAAACATTAAACTATTTTTAGATGTCATTGCTTCACCATATAGTTAAGATTTGATAGGCAACACAAGGAATTTGCCTTTGTTATTTACCTCCAACAGCTGTGATCCTAAGTAAGAATCAACTTAAAAAGGATCTAAAAAATAAATAGAAAAATCTAAAAGTCCACCTTATAGTACAAGGAGAAATTTGTAACTTTGCCTTTCCTTTGAAAACAACTGAGGCTTTCTTTTCACTATGGAAAAAAAACATGGATAAATATGTGCTAACATGTCTTAGATGTGGTGTGGAGAGCGTGTTTGGTTCTTTGGCCGTACTATAGCCTTGTCTGCTCCCTTCCCTCTCAGTTTCAACTCTTTCTTATCTCTCTCTCTCTCTCTCTGGCTCTCTCCAATTATTTTTTGTTTTTCCATCACAAAGATCGCAAAAAATCAGCTCTGAACAGTGAAACATAACCCACACACATACACAACACCCTTTAAGATGCGCCTCTCTTTTTCTGTCTTCAAACACTTGTTATTCAAAGCTTCAACTTTCAACTCTTCCTTGTCATCAACTCATGCTTTTTAGAGGCTGTTTGGATTGGTTCTGTCTCCAATATGGATTTTGGGGTTCTGGGTTTGGAGGGTATTGTGGGCCCTGATAATGGAGCTCCATCTCAAACTCAACTTCCTCCACCACCACTCCTCTCAGCGGAGGCCAAGCCTAAGCTTCTTGGATCTGGGTTTACCAAGCAAGAAAGATCTTCTGACTCGGCTGAAGATCACTGTAAAAGTTATAAGTTACCAAGAACTGATGATTTATCAACCCCAAAGACAATGCCTTTGCACCAAGGCACTCCTTTGTTGAGATCTAATTCTTTGGTCTCAGCTGATACTAGCCACCAAGAGCATATGCTAAGCTTCTCTTCACTCAAATCTGAAGTTCCTTTTATCAGCAAAGATGTTGGCTTTTTGGAGAGAAGTACTCAAAACAGTGGCTTATCTTACTATCAACATACACCGTCTACATACACTAGAAATGCAGGTAATTTTTTTGTGTTCTGGTTTGTAACACTTGTTTTTGGGTCAAAAAAAATTGGTACTTTGTGGTTGGCTTTGGTTTCTGATTTTTGTGAGATTGGGATTTGGAAAATGTGCCTTCAGGTGTAAGAGATTTAGGCACACTCTTTGTGCAGAAAATAGGGTTGCATAAATTGTCAAGTAGATTTATTTCTCTACAGTTGTGAGGGTCTTTTCATGGGCTTTTAGTATAAATTTTAAGTTTTTGAGTCTTGTCAAGTAGGAACATAAGGTTTTTCCCTCTTAAAAACTTGGTGTTGTTATTTTTGGTTTCGGCAAAAAAATTACATTATTTCTTGCTATCAGTTAAACAGAATGGGGAAGAAAGGTTGGAAAGAATCCGTAATCTATCAGATATAAGACTTTGGTCCTTTTTCTTTGTCTTTTCTTGTTGTTCTTTACTTTTTCTTTGGAAAATAGTTGAAAAAAAAAATTCATGGCATATGTTGGTTCAATAAATATTCCTGGCGAGTTAACCCCTCAATATCTTGTTTTAGGTTATGGTTCTGGAAGCTTGAATGCGAGCATGCATGGTCCTCTTACTGGGGTTAGTGGACCTTTTACTCCATCTCAGTGGATCGAACTAGAACATCAGGCATTGATCTACAAGTACTTCACGGCTAATGTGCCTGTACCTTCGAATTTGCTCATCGCCCTCAAGAAGTCCCTCTACCCTTACGGCTTGTCCAGCTCATCTGCTGGATCCTTGCCTCCCAATTCTTGTAAGTTCCTTCTCTTTTTGAAAACAGATACTCGAAGAATAATTATATTTATCATAAGACATGATTGTCTTGGATCCCTTCTTTGTTATTAGTATGTTTTCGGTTTTCTATTTGGGTTTTATTTGATCTTTTGGGGGTAGCTGTTGGTGTTTTTCTTGGTGCATAAATGTGTTGAAAATGAACTTTTCACTTGATGCTGGCAGGTGGTGTCTGTTGAATGGTAGAGTAGATATTTATAATTCGATATGTAGATAGTGGATACTGTATTGCTTTGCTGCTGGTAACAGGGAATTTTGGATTTTGCAGCTATGTCTTACAGTTTGTGCAGTGATCTCAAAGTTTTCCGTTTATCTTTGGTAGAAAGTTTTATCCAAAACCAGGATATCACAAATTAAAAGTAAATTTAACTAAAAAGTAACACTGGTTTTGATGTTAAATCCTTCCTTTTCGTTTTTCCTTTTTTGCCTGCTTGTCTTTATTATTGATCATTGCGTGTTTTTTTCTGTTTTAAAAATTATATGTAGTGGGATGGGGTTCTTTTCATCTGGGGTACGCCGGCAACACTGACCCTGAGCCAGGGAGGTGTCGTCGAACAGATGGAAAGAAATGGCGGTGCTCCCGGGATGCTGTTGCCGATCAAAAGTATTGTGAAAGGCACATAAACAGGGGCCGCCATCGTTCAAGAAAGCCTGTGGAAGGCCAGACTGGCCATGCCGGCTCTGGGACCACTAATTCAAAGGTGGTGCCGATGTCTTCCTCTATGTCAGCATCGGTGATAACCAGTGGTGGTGCATCCAACAGCCTCGCAATTGCTCAGCAGCAACAGTTGAAGAACTTGCAATCTGATGTTGCCAATCCTTCTGCTGACACCCTGGTCAACAGGTAAAAATATTCTTTGTATATTTGAGATTGCTTTATCTGTTTACATTCTTATTATTCCTTTAGTGATATTTACGATGATATTGCTTTGAACAGTTTGTATGCATATATTTTCTGTTTCCTTCTCTTTACTTTAAAGTAGACCCCATTATTTCATCTTTACTTTGGTGATAGTGACAACACCTTGTAGTTGGGACTTAGGATTCTCTTTCTTGGAGTTTTTCATTATTATTATAGCATTCTGTTGTTAGGACTTTGATTAATTGGATATATTAAAAATTAAGTCAAAATTAAGTGGAGGCTTGGAGTTTTACTTTACATTTTTCTTTCCATAAATACTTTTTCAATCTTTAGTTATGTTCATTGTGGTTCTGTTCTCAACATTTCTACTATTTCTTAGGTTGTTCCTAAACAAAGAGGACGTGCGTGGCAGAGTACAAGATCCACGGGGGCTCTCCATGATGTCTTCCTCCACCAACCTGAAATCTAACGACTCTACATTTACTGTTACAAAACAAGGTATTCCATTTGCAGAATCCTCTCAATCAGTTTTTGGTCATGTAGCCTCTGATTCACTCGTTAATCCCTCGCATAGAAGCTCTTACGTAAATTCTAAAGAGTATGGTGCATTCCTAGACTTCAGTAATCAAGAAACCCAAGATGAAAATCCACTTCGCCAATTCATTGATGACTGGCCTAAGGATCAATCTAGTCGTTCTGTTATTACTTGGCCAGAAGAGTTAAAATCGGACTGGACTCAGCTCTCAATGTCTATCCCTATGGCGTCTTCAGAGTTCTCATCATCGTCTTCCTCACCGGTGCAAGATAAACTTGCCCTTTCACCACTTAGGCTATCTCGAGAGTTTGATCCAATCCAAATGGGTTTAGGAGTGAACAGTGATATTAGTGACCAGAACCAAAAACAAGCTAACTGGATACCGATCTCTTGGGGAAGTTCAATGGGAGGTCCTTTAGGAGAGGTCCTAACCCACACCACAAGCAATGTGGGTAGCTGCAAGAACTCATCAGCACTTACCCTCTTATCTGAAGGGTGGGATGGCGGCCCACAGTTAGGTTCTTCCCCTACAGGTGTGTTGCAGAAGGCACCTTTTGGTTCACTTTCAAACAGCAGTTCAGGAAGCAGTCCTATAGCTGAGAACAAGAAGCCCCATGGTGGTGGCAGCCTCTGTGATGATGTGCTTGGCTCCACTCTTGTAAGCTCTGCCTCGATTCCTTCTGTAATCAGAAGCTTATAAATTAAGTTAGAACAGAAGAAACTGTGGAAGAAAACTGAGCCTGGAGCAGGTTCATTCGAAGAAGCTTGAAGAACTGTTTATCTAATTAATTTTCTTTTCATCTTTGTTCTCTTTAAGTTATTGTTCTTTAATTTTACAAAGTAGGAACTTTGACTATATCCAATTTTATAGATATTGAACGTTCTTGCGCATGTGGATTTCTGGGTGTATCTATAGTTTGTGACTTGAAGTTATTTGTGGTCTGATTAAATTGGCTCATTACGTTCAGATGGATTTTGGCCTTGAATATTGTTTTAAAGTGTAGCTTATCTTCTTTCAATTATAGGTAGTGAACTTTGCAATTCTTGGAGGCCTTCAAGAGCAACAATAGTACGCGCTAGATTGAGGTTGGACCCCATTAACCGGAAAAGTGGGGTCAAGGCTGGTCAATGATAGTGCTGAAACTTCCGTCATCATGATTTATGGATAACTTCCAAAATACATATTGATCATTGACTCTGTTGGGTCACTATGTTGCAGAACCTCTTCCCATCCTTTCCAGGTGGTAGATTGCTAACATTATTGAGATCACTGAAGAAGATGAGGATGGAGTTTCCTGGACTCCAGGCAGGAGGCACGTTTGTGGCCTGGCCTCCCGGCAGACAGAGCAACTGCTCCCCACTGAGCTGATTGGCCCATTGCCTCAGAGTGGCGCAGCTACTTTCCCTGGCTTGACCTTGAGTCATGATAAATTTAAACATGGGACCAACTCTCTGAAATAAACATTTTTGTGTTGGGTCCAATAATTGGGGCTCCAAAATGGACCCCAAAAATATCTTAAAGTATTTAATATGATTGAACCAAGAAAGAATCCAACAATAGTAAGAAAAAATATTTGGTACTATTATATGTTGTACGGTACAACCCTACCTTAGCCGAGTAATATAGTCATTTTGACTGAAAGTTTGTTTTTGTTACTGGCGAGGGGCCTTGTTAAGTACAAGGAAAGCGTAGAGTGGATTGTTAATGAATTGAAACCCAGTTTCATTGGTTGAGTCACAAATACAATGGGGGAAAGATTTTCAGAATGTTAGATTTTGCGGCTGTATTGCAGACTGCAATCACCAATGAAGGGAGTGAAACTGGAGGAGAAACACTGAAAACGAAGAAATGAGCAGAATGAAACTGCTTTTCAATTTTCAGTCTCTCAGAACACATCCCAGATTCTGTAAAACAAATATCCTTTTGTCTGCAGCCTGTTTGCAAACAAACCTGGGTCTTAAAATAGCCTGGAATCTAAAACAGAAGTAAAATTCCCTGCACGATTTTGTGATTCAGCTGTTCTGTTAACTCTCATAAAAAAAAAAAAAAACAGGGCCTAACTGCTGTTAAGAACTGAACTTGGCTCGTTTTCTGCCGTAGATATTTGGATCTGGGCTTTGATAGTTGATACAGATGTAGGTCTGTTGCGCTGTGATAGACATGCTAGTGCATATTTTAAATCAAAAGTGTGGCTAAATACCTATAATCCCATGGTCCCAAACCCAAGGCCTGAGAAAAGAAAGAGCAGGAGGACCCCTCCTTTTATCTGTGGAATGCATGTTGTTTCCTTTGCAGGGCAGTGACAACCAGGAGTGAAAGCAACTGCTGAAGAAAACAATGGCTCCCTGGAAACGGCAGAAGCACAGGGGCTCTTACTTCATTAACTTGGAAACGGGCAGGCAGAGTAGAAAAACTGTTTGACCATTTTTTTATCCCCAGTGGTAGAATGTCTCCAATAACTGATCCAAGGTTTCCTGTTTCTGTATGCAAGCCAATCAATGAAAGGAAACTGCCAAAATTAAAATGTTGCTTCCTTTTTTCCCCAAGAAAATTTCTTATGTTACAATTAATTGTACTGGAGTGGTTACTATTTGTACTTCAATGTTATTGTACGTTGTAAGCGAGCAGGAATAGTTAAAAAATTGTTTGTCCATTTTTCTTCTCTCCAGTGCTGGAATGTCTCCAATAGCTGATCCAAGGTTTCCTTTTTCTGTATGCAAAGCCAATCAGTGAAAGGAAACTGCCAAAATTAAAATGTTGCTTCGTCTTTTTATTTTCCTTTCCCAAAGAAATTTCATATGTTACATTTTATTGTACTAGTGTTCGTACTTCAACTTGATGGCCTTTCTGGCTGTCTTGCATATGTCACTATCCCCAGTTTGTGAAAGGAAAAAAAAAAAAAACCCATTCAATTTGGAGTTAGGATTCTCTGGGTCTCTACCATGCTAATATTTTGATATGAAAGAGTTTAGATTCTTAATTAAACATATTGCTACGGTAAACAAATGCAAAGAATAATACATTTTAATGCTTTCTCAACAGAGGCAACTTCATACGGTATACTGGGCTCAACTAAACTACTACTGTCTCAACTCTCAAGAACGAAGGCAGCTAGAAATGGAGGCCAAACGACAATGTCAAGCCCAAGTTAAGACTCCAACTCAAAGCTGTAAGTACAAACCCAAAGCTGTTTGAAACTCACCAACTCAGATTGCACCCTACTTTCATGCTCGAGCTTGAAACGCAAGCTTGATTAGGATTCCATTTTCATACTTCAGAGCTAAACTCAGAAAAATGAGTGAGGCATTTAAATTTGTGTAGATTTTGATGAAAAACCTGCTTTATGACGGAAGAAAATTTAACCCTTTTCGGGATAATTCAATCTTTACTCAAATCACCTTTTATTTAAAGTTTACCCAAAAGTTTCTTATAAAACAATATGATTTAAATTCAAAAACCACATTCAAATTCTAATAAATTTAAATTACCCTTACCCAATTCATCTTGTATTTAAATTTACCCAAACATTTTTTTTAAAAAAATATGTTTAAGTTAAAAAAAACAATCAAATTCTAATAAATTTAAATTTGAATTGATTTGGATAAATTATTTGTAAATAATTACAGAAAACTTGTAAATACAAAATAAAAATGATACTATTATTTACAATTATATTTAACTCTTTAATCCAAGAAATTTCTGGGTCGAGTAATTGATTGGCATCAACATTCAGATGTCTAAAATAATGCAACATATCAATTAAGAAAAAAAAACAAAACAAAAACATAAAAAAAGAAAAAAAAAATTAAAAGGATGGAATAGCTCAAATTTTATGGGTGTAATTAGAGGTTTATTATATTCAAATTGAGCAAATCAAGATAAAAAATTATTTTTATAATTATCTCTAACTCTATATCTCATTTTTAGTTTATTTCTTTGATTTTTTAAAAGAAAAAATCCAAAAAGCAAAAATCAGTAACAATGAAGTTTTGAGAAGTTATTCTTAAAAATCATCTCTAATTCTATATCTCTCTTTTAGCTCCCTTCTTTATTTAAAAAAAAATAAAAAAAGCAAAAGTTAAGAACAATAAAATTCACATAAACATAAAAGCATTAAAATGTAAATTTGATTCTTAAATTAAAAGAATTTAAAAGACAAAATTCATATCAAAATAAAAAAATGTAAATTTGTCATTATTATTCTAATTTCATAATAAATAATCTAAGAAACAATTTAAAAAAAACAGTAAAAAGAAAAGTTGACATTGCCTTTTATAGCTGCGAAAGTGAAATCATAATTCCGAACATTTTAAGGTTTTAATCACATGATGTTGTCGTCCTTCGGCTTCATGGTCGGGAAATTCAATATATATAATCAAGTATTGTACGACCGTGGCCTGATTGATAATGAGATCCAAGCTTATTAAGATGATAATATTTTTATTTTTAAATTATTAAAAAATTACAAACCATTTAAAGAATTAATAATTTATAATTGACGAAATAATGAAAATTAATAATTTATCAAGCCACTTTTGCATTAATGGAATAAGAATTATACAATTATAGTAGTACATTTTTTCTGTTCATTGTCATTTAATTTTTTGTTATTCTGTACTTATTAAAATTAATTATTATGATAAATAGTACTTTTTATCAATATTAATCTACTTAAATTAAAACATGGCATTTCCCTTACTGGGAAAATATGCATACTCTATAAAGTCAATATATTTTAAAAGAAAATATATATTATTTTAGATATAATATTTGAAAAAAATTTAAATTATTTAATATAATTCAAATAAGTTTTATTTTTTTTTATTACATTCAATCAAACTCTTTTATTTTTATTAAGATCAAATAGGTTATTATGACTAATAGTTAATTAATTATTTTTAATTAAAATAATATCTATCATCTTTATATCATATACTGTTAACATAGAATGTGAAACTATTACATAAATACGTATCTTATCAATATGTCATATTAACATCCACCATGACATATTAGCTTACCATGTTAACATCATATAGTATAAAAATAACAAGTATGGTTTTAATTAAAGGGAGTTAATCAATTGTTAATTATAAATATTTATTTGATTTAAAATAAATAAAAAAAGATTGAATATGATAAAAAATAAAAAATTATTTAAATTTTTAAAAATAATTTAAATATATTTTTAGATATTATACTATTTACGAGTGCATTGATATGCATAACAATTTATTAATTAAAAAGATAACTCCTCCAAAAGGCGAAAAATACACGTTTAATTTCTACCCACGCTATCATGATATAAAATGTCTATTTTGTTGACTGCTTTTGCACCTTAATTATCCAATCGTATATCTTCCTTACACTTGACTCCAAAAATTTGCTGTCACCCTTACCATCAACCCAATATTTTAATCACTTTGCTCTCCAGATATTGGCTTTGTACACTTAATTTCTGGCTTCCAAGCCTCAAGTATGCAAACAAAGAAGTTGGCCAAACTTCTCCTGATGGAGACTGTGCTTTGAATATAGAAAGATGACCCTTTTCATTCTATTTTAATTAATAATGAGGTAGCTTTGATTTTCAATGACTCTGATCAGAAATGTCCTGTTTAATTAAAGCTGATCCAACTAATTTAATTAGTATTCTCTGTACTGTATTCATTGTTTTCTTGCCAGGTTTTGATTCATGATTCTGAACTGCATACACGTGCATAATCGTATATTTGTTAACAAAGGGAAATTAAGGAACTTTGCTTGTTGGCTTGTCAGCGATCAAATTCTGCTCTTAACTAAAACTTAGTTTCACTTTATTAGTTGATTACATGCTTTATATCCACCTTTACCTACCCAAAGACTGAACCACTGGGATTAGTTTGTCAAGTCA